TAAATAAATAAATAAAGCAGCTATGAACATAGTTGAGCAAGTGTCCTTGTGGCAGAATGAGTATATATGCACTGGAGGGGGATAGCTGGGTCTTGAGGAAGATCAATTCCCAATTTTCTGAGAAGTTGTAATATTGATTTCCAAAGGGGCTGTACAAGTTTTCACTCCTACCAGCAATAAAGGAGTGTTCCCCTTACTCCACATCTTTGCCAGAATGAACTGTCACTTGTGATTTTGATCTTAGCATTCTAACAGGTGTAAGATGAAATTTCACAGTAGTTTTCATTTTCATTTCCCCAATGGCTAAGGATGTTGAACAAAGTGTTTCTTGGCCATTTGAGATTCCTTCTCTATTTTTATCTATACCTCATTTTTTAATCAGATCGTTTGGTTTGCTGATGCTGTTTTGTCTCATTGACAGTGTTCTTTGCCTTACAGAAGCTTTTCAGTTTCATGATGTCTCATTTATTAATTGTTTATCTTAGTGCCTGCACTATTGGTGTTCTGTTCAGGAAGTTGTCTCCTGTACCAATGCATTCAAAGCTATTCCCCACTTTCTCTTCTATCTGGTTCAGTGTAACTGGATTTATGTTGAGGTCTTTGATCCACTTGGACTTGAGTTTTGTGCAGGGAGATAGGTGTGGCTCTATTTGCATTTGTCTACATGCCTAAATCCTGTTAGACCAGCACCATTTGTTGAAGATGCTTTCTTTTTCCATTGTGTGTTTCTGGCTTCTTTATCAAAAATCAGGATTCCATAGGTGTGTGGATTTACATCTGGGTCTTTGATCCCATTCCATTGATCAATATGTCAGTTTTTATGCCATGCAGTTTTATCACTATAGTTCTGTAGTATAGCTTAAAATCAAGGATGATGTTACCTCTGCAAGTTTTTATTGTACTGGATTGTTTTAGCTATGTTGGGGTTTTTGCTTGTTTTGTTTTTCCATATGACATTGAGTAGTGTTCTTTCAAGATGTGAAAAAGAATTATATTGAAATTTTAATGGGGACTGTGTTGAATCTTTATATTGCTTTTGGTAAGATGGCCACATTTACTATATCAATCCTACTGATCCATGAGCATGGGAGATCTTCCCATCTTCTGGTATCTTATTTAATTTCTTTCTTCAAAGGCTTGAAGTTATTGTCATACAAATCTTTCACTTGTTTGGGTGACCTCAAGATATTTTATATTATTTGTGGTTATTGTGAAAGATGTTGTTTACCTGATTTCTTTTTCAGCCTGTTTGTCAGTTTCTTTATGACAGACGCATAAGTTTTGAGGCATAACAAGGTATTGTTGTTCTCTGAGTCCTCTGGGTGCTTTCTATCTCCTCTCAATTGAATACTAGTGTTATTTGGATAATTTTCAGGGCACTGGTGCCCTTCTCCCACACTCTTATCTCTAAATGTTATGTGTCACTTCTTTGACCATTCTTACTCTGTTGTATCTGTATTAGTTTCTCATTGCTGTGAAATATCTGAGAGAAACATGGTTTCAGTCCATGGTCAGTGGTTCTCTTAGTTCTGGGCTATGATAAAGGAGAACGTGAAGGCAAAAGGTATAGAGGAGAGTAAAGCTGCCCACCTCATGGTAGACAGGAAGTAAGAAGAGAAGAGGGGGAAGGAGACAAGAAAACTCTTTCGTGCCTAAAGTAATGTGCTTCTGCCCAATAGATTCTGACTTCTGCTTTTCATAGCTTCCTCATAAAGTTATCATACTATGGATCCATAAAACAGTTACTTCATTGGTTATATCAGAGTCCCTGTGATCCAATCATTTTTTCAAAGTCTATCAGCTGAAATTCAGAGACCAAACACCTATTGTGTGAGACTTTGAGGGATATTTCAGATTCAAACAATAATACTGTCCTTAGTTAACTATTAAGTGCTGCCTCCAAGCCAGTGAATCTGCCATAAACTTTGCTTGAATTGCTTTTGGTTGAAATGCTCTTTTCTTTCTCAAATCTTTTGTCTAATTGTGAGGCTTGCCTTACTCATTTTACTTTTAGCTATACCTGCTCCAGCCCCACCATTACCTGCCATATTTTTCCTTATGATATGTATTATCCCCTAGTGAACTCCTGTCTGTCCTTCAGCTCCAGGAAGACGAAGATTCTTTTCTGTTTTATTCACTACTTCGTTTTTACTCCTAGTTCTCTGAATAGTGCCATACTAGGCACTCAAAAATATTTGTTAAGAGACTCACTTAAACCCCACAAAGAACCATGTAATGACTAGCTAAGAGTAATGGGGACTTAGCTTTCATGGGATTGTGAGAAACACTTCCTTAACAAATGAAAATGTTATGTTGATGAATACAGTAAATGCTCACAAAATAAGATCAAATGTTGCAGTAATAAATTGTGATAGTTTTTTTATTTCATGAAGCAAAAATCAATTACATAATTTGTGAAAACTAGTTATTTTGCTTGCTATTAATCACTAATATTTGCATTGTGACAATTTGATGTCCATTTTATATCACATTTTAATTTCAAATTCAAAATGAAGTTTTAAAATAAAAGGTCCTATATAAGATCCTATTTTCTTCTTAATATTGATTCACTTTTTTCTGGTGTAATTTAAACTGTAGGCTTTTTATGAATTATGCATTTATAGCATAATCAAAAATCACCCTCAAATATATGTCTCATTTTGCTGCCATTTTTAAATTTAAAATACAAATCTAGATTACGAAAATAGAGGGTTTTCCCATTTGCTGTTAAAAAGTAAAGTAAAAAAGAAAAGGCAGAAATGAAAAAAATGCCTCATTTACCACGGGGTGTTTACATTCCCCAACCCCCCATTCATGTTTATTTGCACTTGATATCTCCAGTTAGAAGCCTCATAGGCTATGGGACAGCTGAGGACATGCCTTCAAACATCACTGCATGTACTCATTATTTCCTCAGTGTCTTTGGTATGATAAATTGTCAATTTATTATTTCTAATCTCTAGGAGAATCCCATGCTTTATAGAAACAAACAGTTCCTGTTTGCAATGATATCTAATTAGATCCAGAACGTAACTGAAGGATTCAAGACGTCAATTAGACAAACTGGTTAAGGCAGGGAGTATGACTGGGTGGAATCTTAAGCCCATGGAACAAAGGACAGGTAGCAGTGGGAAATGGGGGCAAAGACCAAGTGAATTTGTCTTGGGTGCCTTCCCTAGTCATTCTTTTATCTAACTGTGAGGCTTGCCTTACTCATTTTACTTTTAGCTATACCTGCTCCAGTCCCACCATTACCTGCCATATTTTTCCTTATGATATGTATTATCCCCTAGTGAACTCCTGTCTGTCCTTCCACTCCAGGAAGATGAAAATTCTTTTCTGTTTTATTCACTACTTTGTTTATTCCTAGTTCCCTGAATAGTGCCATACTAGGCTCTCAAAAATATTTGTTAAAAGACTCACTTAAACCCCACAAAGAGCCATATAATGACTAGCTAAGAGTAATGGGGACTTAGCTTTCATGGGATTGTGAGAAACACTTCCTTAACAAATGAAAATGTTATGTTGATGAATACAGTAAATGCCCACAAAATAAGATCAGGACAGTAGGGTTTTCTGGGACCATACTTAGGAGTTGACATTATCTGGGTGTATAGAAGTATTCTGGGTGACAATAAGACAGGTTCAGTTGAAAGGGATGGAGAACAATGATCTCACTGGGCTCAGTGGTTCCATTTGTCTTTTCAGAAAAGCAATAAATTGTACAAAAATGACCGATTTTAATTTATAAAATTCTAATGCTAGCATTGTTTTACCTCATGGTAAAGCCTTAATAATGTGATACATTTTTGTAAGTGGTAAATTATTTATATTTTTGTACCTATGTGTATCTGAGAACAGTCTGCTCTCTTTCACTCTCCCTCTTCTTCCCCCTCAGTTTGAGGTAAACACAGTATTTCAGAGTGGATGCATCAGGGAGAGTTATTTGTTTGTCTTTGGATAAGACTCTTAATATCTCAGGGAGACTTTTCTTTTTCAAGGACTCCCCCACCCTCGACTCCATTCTTAAATTTTACCCTCATGCCCACAACAAGCCAGCAGTGTTATCATGAGCAATACAGTTGACCTCTTTGACATCACTTCATTTATAAAATGGGCATAAAGATATCAGCTTACACAATGGTTGTATAGAATGAAGTAGAACATTTAATACCAATGATAATTACCAGTATCACTATTATTATTATCAAGAGTAATTATGTGAGTGCACCCTGTATGCCAGGAATACTAACAAACCAATGTTATCCAAATAGGGTTACTAGCATCCCCATATGATGTCAAATGCCACCTTCCTTGGGAAAACATTCTGAACCTTACAGAAGGAACCATTTACATCAAAGGGCTTTGCTCAATCACATGAAAAAGCCCATGACTTATTAGTCTCTCACACTGACATTCACTCCTTAAAGCTCAGGAGTAGCTTGCACAGCATTGCTCTTAGTAGGTAGTATGTTGATATGTTACATTACTTTTTTGAATGCTGGCTGTTATGTTTTGGTCTGCAGGTGAGAGATTGTGGGACTTGGAAATGTTCTGTGGCTCTTGTGTCAGAATCCTTGGAAGAGGTGACATAGGTAAAGAATTCTGGACTCCACCCTCCATGAGTCAAGGTAGGGCCTGGGCCATTCTAACAGTTATCCTCACCTCCACACATCAACTGGTAAGTAAGTGACCCCTATAGACTCCTCCAAGCTCTGGAATTCCAGGAGTCAGATAACCTGTTTCTGGATGTGCGCCATGCTTAGTTCCCTCCTCAGCTCTGCAGCCTGCTTTTGATTATGGCAGAAAGAAAAACTTGCTTTACTCTGTTGTTTTCAGTGTTACAACTGATTTTTACTGGGAATCAATTACCCACTGGAGCACAGGAGCATTTTAGCACCCAAATTAGTATAGTGCAGATGAAGCATTTCATGAAATTGTTTCAGAGTCCACAAACCAGGCCATTATCATGTATGTGTTTTAAAATGGCCAATCAAGAATGACCTACAGGGACTCACAGTTCAGTACTGAGAGTTGTTCAGGGAGTTTTAGGATTTGTTCTATAGCTTCAGGAATCCATGGTTAAACTCTGTGAAAGCTCAGTAGCAAATCTGTGGCCTACAAGTCTTGATTATATTTAAAAATATATTCCCTTTATCTCAACTCCAAAATTAATATTTAAAGATTAACATTGTAAGTAGGTGAAAAACTGCTACTTTGAAGTATCACTGTTAGTTGTAAAGGAGATGTATCAGAATAATTTAGTCTTGATGGGGTTCCTGAGTGTGTGAATGAGTGGGTCTTTGATTCTTATACCTTCTCTTCCTTCTGTTGGTTTGCCCTGTCCAACTTTGATCTGATAGTTTTTGTTTTATCTTATTTTCTTATATTTTAATATTATCTCTTTCTGTTCTTTTTCTAATGAGAGACAGAAAGGGATCTGGATGGGAGGGGGTGGGGAAGGATTGGGAGGAGTAAAGGGAGGGGAAACTGTAATCAGGATATATTATCTGAAAAAAGAATCTGTTTTCAGTAAAAGGGAAAATACAACAAAAATACTGTGTTAAAGACATATTATACTGATATCTAAAAAGTAGGGGTTAGATGTCCCTTCTGCATTCTAACTGCCAGCTTCCGTGGTTGGAGGACAGGCATAGAACATTACCAACTGAGAGCAGAACCTTAGAGCTATGTTCCCTGGGAAGACAAGGAAGAAGCAAGATTCTAGTGTCTGGGAAGTTCTGTTTTGTCCTTGGTCCCTTCCACCAGCCACAGAAGATTTCTCTTATTTACTTTGCATGAAAAAAAATGAAATCAGGCATCCTTCCAATACTCAGTTAAGTTGCTGGCAAGCTCTGATTAATTATTCTGGGGAATCCTGGTCTCACATAAACATGCTTTTTCAGCAAGCATAATTGGAAAAAATAATTGATTTAATAAATCTGCAACAGTGTTCATTAAGAATGCTCCTGTTCCTATAGACACTAAATATACTCTTTACTTCAAACATTTAAATATATTTTTCTTAATTATTAGAGGATGTCTTATCTCCTGGCCTAGGACACAGAGTTACCTGACACCAAGGCTGGCTGTCCTCATAATGTGGATTCTTTAAGAGTAGTGTAGTCAAGAAGAATAAGAAAATGCAGATGCTGAGGAATCAGAGTGAATGAAGATTTATTAAGAAAAGGAGAAAAGAACTTTTGAAAGCAGTGCCCAATTTGGTAGTTTTGTTTTGTTTTTGTTGTTTTATGCGGGGAAAGGTATCATAACAGAAAATAGATGGAGACTGATAGAATCTTTACTGGGTTTGGTTAATTTTTGAGAGCATCGTGGACCAAAACACTCAAAGTCCACACACCCTATGTGTGCCCCCTGGGCCCAATCAAAGACGTGATCAGTGATGTGGTATTCATCCAGACCAATCAAGGGAGTGGTCACTTGTGTCTCAAGGTCCACCAAGAGCCCTGCCTTGACTTGGTATAAGAAATTTACTCTTGATTCACTAAGAGATCATAAAGTAACTTCAAATAATATACATTTTTTAAAAAATGTGTTCTCTGAAAATACACACAAAAAACATGATACAGACTGAGCAGGTTGTATTTATGCATATATATATATATATGTGTGTGTGTAATATATATATATATGCATATATATATATATAGTGTGTATGTGTATGTGTGTGTGTGTATGTGTGTGTGTGTGACAACAATTAACAAAAAATAGAGGCCATGAATTTGAAAGAGTGCAGGAAAGGGTCTATGGAAGTGCTTGGAGGGAGGAAAGGGAAGGAGGTAATGATGTAATTATAATCTCAAAAATAAAAGAAACAATTTAAAAAAATATTCTCTGAATTTTTGCCTCTTTCATGCCCACAAAAGCAGAAAGGCTCACTCTGAAAAGTGCCCTCATAATCTTTCTTTCTCCTGGTGCAAAAGGCAGGCTTCATTGCCTTTTTCTTTCCTAAATTTTGAAATACATCACATATAGGAAATAGTATATGCTATTTACATGTATAGTTTACATAGTAATAAATATAATCACCAGTTTATGGCTGCTCGGTGGGGAAATTGAAATCTCAGTGTTCACTTGGGCAGGCCCCCCTAAGAGGGACTGCATTTCACTGCACTCAGAGCCCATCTACACTGACTCCTGTAAGGATGTTTTCACCCTCATCTTCATGGTTTTTCCATCTATAGGTACACCCCTGCTGTGGTTTAAATGTGACTGCCCTCCCAGAGATGGAGATAATTTGGTTCCGGGAACTGGTCTAAGGTGAGCTGCAGAAAGGGATGAACTCACACATCATCATTCCAACATTCTTCAGTGTCCTCTCCTCATATGAGAAAAAGAGTCTTAGGGTATACACAAGGAAAATGTCTAAAGCCACCAAAAATAAGTTTGACTGTGATTAATTTATCCATCATTTTTTAGCCATGTTGTATAAAATAAATTATTTGAATATCACATATACAAAGGTCCTGTGGTTTATGATAAAGGATTTCTTTGGATTTGAAAAGTAGTTTCAAATCCAAAGTAGTTTTAGATAGTTCTAGTGAACATCACCATCTTATTCTGATTTTCTTTCTGGACCACGACAGGTTGTCTGGGTGGTTGAGCAATGATATAGTGAAATATGAATAGAAAAGATTCAGAACTGCTGGAATTTTGGAGATGAACAACTCTACTAAGTGTCTCCTACTCTTTATCTTTCCAAATAGTTCTGTTTATTAAATAATTTCATACCTAATCCATTCATATAATAGAAAGTTGGGGCAAAATAAATTTGTCCCTTTTAGTTCAAGATGCACCACATCTGTACATGATGGGACATACTATCATCTACATTACCTGAAGACCTTGACCTATGCAAAGGATGCAGTTGGGGATTATACTTTGAGGAATCTTCTTAACAAAGTGATCAAATATGTTCAAATCATTAATATAGTTAATATAAGTCATCAAATTATTAGTATCAAATGATACTAATAATTACTTGGTAATCAAAATGGCAATCACAATATAGAATATTTGTGTTCCTCTATATCCGTTTTCTCTTTTCCTTCATAAGTAGATTAAAATACTTACTCATCTGACATTAGGCACAGGATCCTAGAAAAGTTGTAGCAAATCAAATAAAAGGGAGAAGCAATCTGAATGACCTTCAGGGCTAAGTCTTTTAAAGCCAGCATACCACCATTATGCTAAGATAGTATCCTGCAAAATAGAACATACCCTCTAAATCAGTGATTCTCAATGTTTCTAATGCTGTGACCCTTTAATACAGTTACTCATGTTGTGGTGACCCCCTAACCATAAAATAATTTTTATTACTACTTTATAATATAATTTTGCTACTGTTATGAGTCATAATGTAAATACAAGATATGCATAATATCTGATATGTGACCCCTGTAAAAGGATTATTCAACCACCAAAGGGGTTGTGACCCACAGCTTGAGAACCACTGCACTAAATAAATGGAGGAAAGTACTCTAACCTTCTGTAGACTTCCTATGAGTATTTGTTGCCAACTACTGAGCCTTTGGGGTTTGTTATTGAAGTAGATCCTTTCATACTGGAAAGTGGAATAAAGTAGCTTTTTAGTTCTTAGGGCTGCCATGGCTCACTTTTAGTCAAAGTTTCTCTTCAGTGCTCATAAGCAACCCCTATGCATTCCCAAGGTCCCCTTCTCTGGAAAGTCTGACCACACCCAAAATCAATTCCCTTCTCAAAGGCCATTAACATTCCTTCCTGTTACTTGTAGTACTTCTATGATTCTGCAGCCTATGTGCTGCAGGATTCATGTTTAATAATTGTCATTAAAACCATAATAATAGGCAGTAGCTTTTAATGGGGGGAGTACTTTTAGAATTTTGCTTATTTAAACCTCTGGTTTGAGTTCAACAAATGAAAGTGAAGGCTTCAGAATGCTCTGGATTGGGATCTGTAAAAAGTGACAAAATGGCTATAAGAGAATGACGGGCTCATACTCTGTAAAGAAGCTAATTAAACACTAAAAGTCATGTGTCTCTAGCAAACTATGAAGAGTCTGTATCTATAGCTAATCCATCTCTACTTTTTAATCTCTAAATGATCAATACTCACCTTGAGTCTGATTTAATCAAATACTGTAGACTCCTTGGTTTTTATTCCACTCTGCCCATGGATCCCCATAATCCTCTCTCCTACTCTTTCTGTTCTGCCTCATATTCCATATTATTTTACACATGGGTTGGTATCCACATTATTATCTGTATGTGTTCACATAAAAGAAAAAATCATTTCAAGTCCTCCTGAAAATTAAAAACATAAGTAATCACAGGAATGTTTTGACTGGTGGCTCTACAATCTCAAGATTTCAGGTCCTATTTTTTTCTCTATTCTAGTACTTTATATCATGGTTTATGCCTTTCATGGTCATCAGATCCTTCTAGCATCCCTAGTAATCAAGCCTCACATGGCAATGCCTAACAGAAAAACGATACTGAATATCCTGCTCCCTTAGAAATGCCTCACAGGGCTTTTCTTCCATCCCAGTCTCACTTCCAAGAATTGTATCACACATCCATCCCCAAACTAAAACTAACAATGAGAATAAGATCTTAGCACAGAAGGTTTCCACATGTGTCAAATGTTTTTTCTTCATACACTATGAATGGATTCATGTGGTGAAAACAATTTTTAAATGTTATTTTCCTTTTTTGCTGTGACATTATTCACATGGATAATGTGAAAGAACTGATGGATAAAAACTGATTCCTCTTAACACCAGTCAATACCATACTGTTTTAGCAGGTGTGATATTCTTTATTTCTATTTCAATAAATAAAAATACCACTGTACTCAAGAATATCTTGAATAAAGCAATGAAAATTAATGCTGATATTAGTGAACGTGATTTTGTTGTATTTTATAACATTTTCATAAGAGTCATATAAGTCTGTGAACTAATATTATTCTAATAGTCAAGGCATTACATTACAAAGTTAAACATGACCAAATGATACATTTAATGTATAAGATACGTCATTGGATTTCAATGTGACAGATTAATTAACCATTGATATGGTTCTAGTTTCTCTAACCTTTGAGAAACCACCATTTGTTAAATTATACTGTTGTATCAAAGAAATCTCTACAATTATCTAAAAAAAATTTTATTAAAGTATGCCTCATTTTTTGTCTATATATCTGTGATGGTACCAGTTTTTCTTCATATACTTTAATGAAAAGAACAGATTACAACTGGATTTATTATTATTTCATATTATAAGATTGAATGCAGAAGTTGACATTGGAATAAAATCATGTTCTACAAAATATTAAAGATATTTACCAAATGTAAAAGTATGCCATTGTTATTTCTTAATTTGCTTTGATGAATTTGGTGATTTGCATTGAAAATGATACTCATGTAAACATGTTTGGCTATTTTATTTTCAAAAACAGTTTGCAAATAAATCTTTGTTTTCAGTTTTAACTTTTAAACTTATGTGCTGCTAGATAAAAAGTAAAAGATAGAAATTCCTGGGGGGGGCGCCAGTTTTTTAAAAGTATAGTGTCCTGCCTAGGGACATTGTCAGATTTCCTAGAAGTGTATTGTTCTCTGATGCAGAGGTGAGTACCTGAATGCATGCAGCATTCTGTCAGCAAAGAAGAAAGGACTGTCCCCTGAAATTACAGTGAAAACGTTTGCCTCCTTCAAATGTGTTTTGCACATGCTGCCTACCATCTCAGTGTTGATAGGAGTAGCTTCTTAACAGGACCACAGCCAATCTCTGTGATTTCAATGCTCTCTTCCTCCACCTTATCAGTAAGCTCGTGGTTTCATGATTTGCCCTTTTATCTCTTGTGACCATCTGGTCTGATTTGTTGGGGAAATACAGGAGAAGGTTGAAGAAGGGTTTGGGCTACTCGTAGGAACTAGGAGATGGACCACAGAAGGCCACAATCACAGATGACGATTCCTGTTCTCAGTGAAGCCAGAGTGAAGAAGGCTGGGAATGAGGAACTGAGAAATCTCCATGAGTACATCCTCTTTCAGGAAACAGAGGCTTTAACTGTCCCATGATGTGAGAGCTTACGAGAAGACACTGAGTTGGGATGAGTTCAGAGAGTTGTTTTAAAGCTACATTTGCAGCATAAGTATAGAGCTGTTTGTGGTTCATTCTCTACACGAGTGAATTAAACTTGAAAAGTCTTGTAAAGGTGCCTTTGTTCATACATCATTTATATTCAGAAAAATGACAATTTTCTACCTCAAATAAAGGCTTCCAATGAGTAACTCTGGAAGGGGACAGTTGATGGAGGTGTTCAAGCAAATAACTTAAAAGGGGACTAACCTTTTTCCTAATGGTACTCTGGCATCACCTTTGCCTTAAAGATGAGGGAAAAGCAAGTCCATGGAATAAAGTGAAAAATCACCTTCCAAGCTAGAGACATAAACCAGGTAACATTATTCAAATTTATATAAAACTGAATGAACAATTTCATCTCACTGGTAGATAAAACATGACAGGTTCCGGAGATGAGACAATCATCATTTTCTGGAATCATAGCTAAAAGGAAATTTCTAACTGCTTCTAAGATTAGGTACATTTAACCAAGTCTAAGACCACACCAAGATGTTGATCACAGAGCAAAGAGCAGCCGCAAGATTGCAAACTTGCTTGAGGAAATGACAGAGGAGTAGGATTTACACCAAGTGTGGTAGTGTGCTGCCTCACTTTGCTCACCAGGTTATTGGTATTAGTATAACAGTCCCTACCACATGCTATAGTATACATTTGTCATTCAATCTCATTAATTAATTTGTCTGATACAATATTGTATATACCAAGAGATTTTTTTTTCTCATCATGCAAATATTTCTAAGAGCTTCCTGAGGAGCCACTGGAGATTCTTACTTCATTCAACAATGTCCCATGAGATTGGTTATATGGGGAAGCTCATTTAAAACTGCAAGGATGAGTAAACTACAGCTTGGGAATACAGCAACAATTCTACCTTGAGTTTGCACAGCCTTCAACTCTTTACAGAGCATCCTTGTTCTGTTTGTTCTGTCGCTTTATGGCATCTTTCATGGTGTCTGATGTTAGTCCATGTCTCTTTTTAACAAACAAGCCTGAGGCTCTCCTTTTAACAGACAGTAAATTTGTAGGTAACCGAAATACGTTTTTAGCTTTTTTTTTCCCTTTCGTTGTGACAAAAATGCTCTAACCAAAGTAATTTCAGAGAGAAAGGATTTATTTTAGCACATGGTTTAAGGCACAGTCCGTCATGTTGAGGAAGTCAAGGCTGCAGGAGCTTAAA